CGAGGGGACAGAGGGATAGGGGAGGGATAGAGGGACAGGGGAGGGACAGAGGGACACGGGGAGGGGACAGAGGGACAGGGAGGGACAGAGGGACACGAGGGGACAGAGGGACAGGGGAGGGACAGAGGGACAGGGGAGGGACAGAGGGACACGGGGAGGGGACAGAGGGACAGGGAGGGACAGAGGGACACGAGGGGACACCCCGGGGGTGTCACCCCCGGCGCGTGATGTCACTCAGCAGGGACACGTGACCCCCCCCAGGGCCACCCGCGGGGCTGGCACCGAGCTGGGCGGGGCTGTCCCCATGGGGACACCGGCCTGGGGGGGACTGTCACCTTCTGAGGGACACTGCCACCCTCCCAGGTGCCACCAACCCACCTGGGGGCATCTCTACTGGCTTTTCCCATTGGGGACACCACCCTGGATGGCACTGCCACTCTCCAAGGGACACTGCCACCCTCCGTGGTGCCACCAGCCCAGCTGGGGACATCGCCATTGAGCTGATCCCACTGGGGACACGTCCTTGGAGAACATTGTCACCCTTAGTGGTGCCACCAGCCACGCTGGGGACAGCGTCACTGGGCTGATCCCATTGGTGACACCACTCTCCATGTCATTGCCACCTCCATGGTGCCACCAGCCACACTGGGGACATTGTCACTGGGCTGATCCCATTGGGGACACCAACCTGGATGTCACTGCCACTCTCCAAGGGACATTGCCACCCTTCCAGGTGCCACCAACCCACCTGATGACATCTCCACTGGCTTGTCCCCACTGGTGACACCACTCTCCATGTCACTGCCACCTCCATGGTGCCACCAACCCCACCTGATGACATCACCATTGAGCTGATCCCATTGGTGACAGCACTCTCCATGTCATTGCCACCTCCCTGGTGCCACCAACCCACCACTGGCTTGTCCCCATTGTCCCCACTGGTGACACCACCCTGGATGTCACTGCCACTCTCCAAGGGACACTGCCACCATCCCAGGTGCCACCAGCCCATCTGGTGACATCTCTACTGGCTTGTCCCACTGGTGACACCACCTCCATGTCACAGCCACCTCCATGGTGCCACCAACCCACCTGGGGACATCACCGTTGGGTTGATCCCATTGTCCTCCATGGGGACATTGTCCTTCCAGGTGCCACCAGCCCAGCTGGTGACATCTCCACTGGCTTGTCCCCAGTGGGGACACCACCCTGGACGTCACAGCCACCTCCATGGTGCCACCAACCCACCACTGGCTTGATCCCATCGTCCCCACTGGTGACACCACCCTGGACGTCACAGCCACCTCCACGCCGCCGCCGCCGCCCCATCCCCTCCACACTCAACCCGCTCCATCCTTTTCCATCCTTTTTTTTTTTCCACTTTCCCCCTTTCCGCCGCGGCCCGCCCGTCCGTCCGTGAGTCCGTCCGTGAGTCCGTGTGCCCGCCCTCACCTCCCCTCGTCCCTGCGGCCCGCCGGGTGCACCCAGTTGTTGTCGTGCAGGCTGGTGCGGCAGCCCGGCGCCTCGCGCTCGGCGCGCCGGCAGCACATCCAGTAGGAGCGGCCGTAGGGCAGGTCGTGGTGGTAGGGCTTGGGGTGCCAGCGGCACAGCGACACGTCCCCGCGCTCGTAGCGCTTGCGGCACTGCTTGCAGGGGTCGTCGCGGTACAGCGGGTCGCGGCTCCACCGCGAGTCGGCCGCGCGCACGCCGAACGTCTCGATGATGGACTTGAAGTAGTGGCACGAGCACTTGAGGGCGGCCAGCGCCTGCGTGGGCAGGTAGCTGAAGATCTTCACCATGACGTGCTCGGGCAGCAGCAGCATGTACTGCCGCGGCTCCAGCAGCCGCTGGATCTTGAAGCGGATCTCCAGGAAGTCGTGCGACACGTGCCGGTACAGCCGGCACAGCGCCGGGTCCCCGCCGCCGCCCTCCCCGCCCGGCGCGGCCGCCGCGGCCCGCTGGATCTTGAAGCGGATCTCCAGGAAGTCGTGCGACACGTGCCGGTACAGCCGGCACAGCGCCGGGTCCCCGCCGCCGCCCTCCCCGCCCGGCGCGGCCGCCGCGGCCCGCTGGATCTTGAAGCGGATCTCCAGGAAGTCGTGCGACACGTGCCGGTACAGCCGGCACAGCGCCGGGTCCCCGCCGCCGCCCTCCCCGCCCGGCGCGGCCGCCGCGG